TATAACTCTCTCACACTCTGCTTTTCCTTGAAGATGGTCTTCCTCCCGTAGGAACCTTCACAGATATGGTCTTGCTACCAGTCATTGAAACCTGCCTCATCAAGTTTTGCTTTCATTTGAGTACATTGTTGACACACTTTAGAAATTATTTCAAAATCCAGGACCTTTCTTGTAGCTACAGATATCACAAAGCCAATACAGTGTTTGGCAGTGTAGCCACACTTTGACCATGTACCATCGAAAGTCATGGAAATATCTACAGTAGTAATAGCGTCATCATTATCATCATCAATACCTTCCTCAAGCATGGCAAGCTTTCTGGCTTCTGCACAGTTCTTTTGTAGCTGCACACTTGTTTCCTCTTGAAAGGCTTGACTAAGGGTCTCTTCATGGCTGTACCAGGTGTCAGGTGACATATTAAAAGGCATATTGAAGACCTCACAAAATTTGGCTACTCCTTCTTTTCCAATTCCACTCTCAAATGCAGCAAATACCATTCTTCTGTTGACATCTTTTCCTTGAAGGGTCCTCGGATTAACATCATCTTAAGGGTGGCTACCAGTTGCGAGAAACCCGGACATGCTGCAACCACTGCACTTGGCATAAAGCGAGCTACCAAGTCCAAACCGGTTATAGGAACTCTCCAATATTTGTATCTGGCCTAATAGATCAATAAAGACAATCAACACTCTTATTAATAAAGCGATATAACTGTGGTAATTCTGGCTCAGGATTGATCCAGAAAAACAGCTTTTAAATCGTAGTTCATAGGTCTTATAATTTAACTCACATAATTCTTACCTAAATTACATGCAGTTTGTGCGTGAATCCTCTTCACAAATTTAAGAAGACTGTCCATTGAGACAAGTCTGTATCCTTCGGCAGGCGCCCGATCATCTTCGATAACTTCATCCGAGGAGCTTTCATCGCCGTTTGGCTGTAATTTCCTAACCCTAAAGCAATTATATCTTTTGCTTGGTAAAGGTCTAAAAAGTTTTGAAACCATTTTTTGATTTTGTCTTCGAGGCTAGAGATAGCTTCATCTGTAGTCTAATTAAGTTTGAGATCACCTATAATATCTATGAAATTACCCCAAAGGGTTTGCAGCTTGTCTACATCATGAAACTCTGGTAATAGTAAGTGAAAATTAATATGTTGAAAAAGCAAGAGTTTCTCAGGTCCAGTAAGGTCTCTGTACTCCAACTTCTTGGTGTCCTTATTGATTTTCCATTCAAAATTAATTCCAAATTCTTTTACAAATTTCTCATACCCAGCCATATGTCTATACCTATTTTGACAAAACCCATTTGAAAAAGTAGATACCTTGTCAATGGCATCTTTCCTGCGAAGTTCCCTGATCGGAAATTCGATTAAATTATCAGATATTCTCAAAAATAAATGTAGTGTGTCAATTATTACATGGTCAATAGGAATAAAATCAAATAACGGATTGGTTTTACAATTATATTGCTTAGATTTTGCATACTTACCTATTTCTTGTGAGTCTCTTGCCCTAAGAGATTTGTCAGTTATCGACCTTTTTTTGCTGATGAACCTTTCATTTCTTGGGCACTTACGCCAGATACAAGCAAAATTTTGATTCGCAGCCCTTAGACCACAAACACAGGCTAGAAACTTCCAGTCTCCTTCCAAAAAATACTCAATGCTATACTTATTACTATTTACAGTTATTTCTTTTAAATTTGACATTTCATTATTTAGATCAGCAAGGCTTTTTTTAAGATTGTCATAGTTCTCTGTTGTCTTAATTAGTGCTAGAACATAGTTCCCTTTTTCATTCATTGCTGCATCCTTCCCATTTAAAATTGTTAATGTGACATTTTCAAGTTTAAGCCTTTTCCTAATGTTGGTACCATCACCACTGAGCTCTACTTTAATAGTAGTAACCTTGTCCAATACTCCATTTTTTGCAGCCTTTTTATCTGTTCCTCAAGACTCTCCCTGAAAGAAATCTGTATTCCCTCTGCCTCCCCTGGTGTACTTCCCAGATTCCAATTGGCATTTAGCTTATCTAGGTGTTTGCATATTTTGTGGGCATGTTTTTGCACTTCATGGTCAACTCATGCCAAGCTTCATTAGATATATTAAATTTGTCCTTCAAGTAAACCCACATACAGATGTCATCAATATTATTGTCAGTCAGTTTTGGCTCTGTTTCCAGTAGTTGTAATTCTCCCTCTTCTACCAATGAAATAGTTTCATATTGCTGAGTGTCGTTATTAAATACCTCAACCTTGGTGGCAATAAAATTGTAGAGGCCTAAAAATGACAGTGCTGAGTGGCAGTCTTCTTTAAATCCTCGCCTTAATCTTGCCTGATGCTGTTTGGTATAATCAGTGAAACGTTTGCTTTTGTTTGAACCTCTTTGTCCCTTTTGTTGCATTCTTGCTACTTTTTTCGCTAATCTTTTGAATTTTTCTTTGTATTGTTCTTTTCTGTTTTCCGAATCCCTAATAACATCTTCAAGCTCCTGCTCAATTTTTAATCTCTTTGCCTGCTCTGCGGCTAAATCCAGTTCAGCTTTCCTTTTCTGCCCACGAAGCTGTTGGTTTTCCTCAACCAATGAGTTGTTTTCAAGCTCATGATAGAAAATTTTGAAGGAGTAGATTTTCGCCTTCCATGAATCAATAAGCTCCTTTATACTCTTCCCCACTTTTTGACGCTTTCTTGAACGCTGAATGGAGGAGAGAAATCTTTTTCCTGAAGAGGTTGAGAATTCTGGAATTTATGACAACTCCGCGAATCTCAGATTCCCTCAATATTTTTTTCACGATTCCTGCAATCGCAGAATCAGCACTTTCGTCGTTCGGCTGTTGATGAGGCTTCTTCGACAGGAAATATGTGAGATAGCTGATTAAAAAAAAATCAGTTCGATGAAAAAAACTTTAAAAATTAAAAAGAAAAAAGATACAGGTTTGAATACACTTCGATTAACGCAATTTTTACTTACTTGTTTATTTCGTAAGTAAACCAAGGCAATTTTTTCCCCTTTTGGACCACTTGTCTCTTCGCCAAAATCGTTTTCTGCATCTACCGCCACCGCGAGAATAGCAAGCGAAGACAAAATCGCCTGCGCGTAAACTTCGAGTCCCATTTCCCGAACCCAAACGATATCCAAATCTCATGTATTACGCATCAAATTGCGCCAAATTTATTGTTTTCTTCGTATTTCGCGGTAATGACCAGTTTTGGGCATGCGCTTTAGAGTTATAGCCCCATATTGCTTGCATGTGGCGTGAACTCCTCTTCGACATGTCTGAATCGCTAACCGCAAGTCTCAAAAACCTGAACGAAATATTTTAATGATTGCCTTCAAATGCAGTGGTACAGAAAGCTTATGTACGTTAGTTTTATAAACTGGAGGGAAAAAAGATAGCAATTCAAATGAAATACACGAAAAAGAGGAAAATGTTCGAAAGTTAGCGTGTTTTTGACTGACCCCAGACTGCGTGATTGTATCAGTGAGCCTTCCGCGCGCCCCAATTGGTTTTCCATATTCAAGTTTTCCTTTGTCCTTGCTTTTAAGTTCAAAAGGTGCATCCACATTCTCTTTTGGGCATGGCCAGTACAATCCAATGTAATAACTTTCAATCCAACATGTACAGATTTTCAAAAGTTTTGAAGGCTTTCCTGTCTCCGTTAGACACCATCCACTTGTAATGTTTTTTTTTTGTAGTTCAATGGATCTCCTCCAAAGGATAAAAGCTCATTCCGCCTCCAGGGCTGGTGAACTACCATTAAAGTTAATGTCACACTCACCAGTGGCCAAATGCTCTCTTCTCCACTCAGGGAACTTCTTGTCATCCCCTTCACACTGTGACTCTTTGAGGGCACGCTTTTGACAAGCTTTTGACAATACAGTGTAGTCTAGAACTTCGCCAGTGTTCACTGAAATGGCAAAGAATACCCATGTCAAAGAGGAAAAACCTCGCTTCGCTCAAGTTCCGTCAAGGCTCACAGCTGCACTTGCTTCTCATCAACTGCTTGATTGTCGTCAACGATAATGTTTCGCGGCTTCTGACTTGCGTTTAGAAGTTCTTCCCATGAATAATTTTTTACAACGCCGAGGATGCTATTTACCTGTTTTTAGTATGCATTTGTTGACAAACAAGGCATGTTCATAATTGGACAGAAGGATACACCCGCAAAATAGTGAAGCTAATCAAGGGGGGTCCCTCATAACCAGTCCCAGATTCAAGAGAGTGGTAAACTGCCCGTTTATTCGCATTAAAGGATTTTCCCCTGCTTGTGATGTTTGTTGACGTTTGGCGTGAAGTGCTCTCATCGTAAGCACTACATATAAGAAAAAGGTTAGACTTCAGTCCTGCCGGCTGATTCTCTCCAACGACGTTGGAATATGAGACACAAAGTATTTGGGACTCAATTTGTGATTTAAACACAAAATTAATGTGCTGGGTGGTTAGTTCAATAATGGAAATATAAATGCACATTTGTATAATGAACAAGTAAAAGCATTAAAACCTCAAGATTCATGAGTAAGGTTCAATATCGACTGAAATTCTCTTAACCTCCAGCTCGGAAACACATATTTAAGTTTCAGAAAATTGCCCTGATTATGTTTTCACCTTCGTCACATTTAGGTGCGACCGAGAGCGATGAGGACAGATTTTTCAAATCGATAAGTCTGTAATGAGTCGGTTCGCTTTTCCCAATAGGCCTTATTCGTATTCCCGGACTGGTCTGGGACGAGTGTTTTGTTTCGC